ACGGCTGGATGTTGCGGAGTATAGAAGAGGAGTACGAGGAAAAAGAGGAAAAAAAAGGGAGGAGAGTACTGGAGGAGGAGAAGCAAGAGTGAAAGGGGAAAGTCGAAACCCGCGCCAAGGAAACATAAGAGCGCGTTCCACCATACAATACACGCGTAGGAACACGCGGGCTTTTTCTCTGGCACGTAGAGATATATACTATATATATATATATAAAGAGAGAAAGAGAGTGATATGCGCGCGAGCGCGTACGAGAGAAAAACACGCGAGTACCATGGACCGTTTTGCACGTACGTTTCACGAGGAGGAAGAAGAAGAAGAAGAAGAAGAAGAAGAAGAAGAAGAAGAAGGAGGAGAGAAGTATGAGCGAAAACACAAACGAGAAAGATACGGACACGTAACACATACATACACATACCAACACATAAGAGAATAGACAGAGAAGAGAGTACAGACACATAGATCGCATACTTATGCCGTCGCTGTGCACATAAAGTTAGGGGGCCGCGCGTTCTCTCTCCTACGTTGCCGCACAAGAATAAGAAACACGGTAGCATACATAAACAAGGAGGTTGGGGATGCAGCAATTTAAAACGTACCCCGGAATTCCTCCCAACGGGGCCGTAGAGCGGCCCTCTATATTACGAATTCCCCTCCTCTTCCTCCTCCTTCAGTTCCTCAACCTGCTCTTCCTCCACCTCCTCCCCCTCCCCCACCCCCCTCTTCTCACCCTTTCTTTTTCTCGTTCTCTACAGCATCCACGGCTGCGAAATTTCGGTCGTGTAAGAAGATCGAAACTGCTCGCGATAGCATAATTTCTTCTCGATTTCATCTTGTACATTTGAACGTAAGTATGTACATAGTAGTCGGTACAAAAAGAAAAAAAAAAAAAAGAGAGAGAAAAAAAACGAAAAGAAATAAGAGTAAAACAATAAAAAAGAAAAAATCAACAAATACATGAAGGAACGATCTACGTAAAGAGGTTTTTCTAGCTTATTATTAAACTTCCAAGGCATTGTCGAGTTCTACTCGATAGATCCCGGACTAGTACGGGAGCTTGTAATAAACTTTTATGAGACGTTAACCGCGTATAATATCGAAGTAGAAATCCTTGGCCTTATACGATGACTCCCATTATGCAGATCCTACGTCTACGTCTATGTCGTTGTCGTTGTCGTCATTTTCGTCGTCGTCTATGTCGTCGTCGTCTATGTCGTCGTCGTCGTGGCAATGCCGCGGATAAGTCAAATAGCGATAACAATGGCGGGAGGGAATTTGAAGTTGTGCGGCTCTGAACGTTCTGAAAGCAGGGCGATTGGCTGTTTGAACGGCGGTGTCGCCTCAGGCTGTCGTGTTTGCAGACATAAGGAAGTCGAGGTCGGTTGGTTCTCTCTCTTTTCCTCTCTCTTTCTCTTTCCTCTGTTGAGTGCGCACACGCGACGACTTTGGACTGTAGAAAGAGAAAGAAAGAGAGAAAAAGGAAAAAGAGAGATAGAGAGAGAGAGAGAGAAAGAAAGTGGATGGAGAGGGTATAGAGACGAGGGAGTTCAATTGGTGGCGGCAATCCTAGTAATGTACCCGTGGGGCTGTGTCAAAGTGCCTTCTAGAAGAGAACGATGTTGCATTCAGCATTCTAAAACTTCTTTCTTGCTACGCGAAAGAGCCGTAAGCTCGAGAAAAGAGAGAAAAAAAAAAAAAAAGAAAGAAAAGGAGACAAGATATTCTTATTCTTATACCAACGATTTTATTCGAATTTCCACGCGTAACCCGTTATTTACATTTTCTGCATAAACTGAACTATCGAAGAAACATTGACACTACAGAGAATGACCGTGATATATACACATATGTATATATATATATATATATATACCTAGCATAGAAATTTCCAAATTCGAGGAAGATGATACATACATATCGTTGAAGAAGACTCGGCAAGAAAGAAGTTCGATGCTTCTTACGTTCACACCTTCTTGCACGAAGTATGGCAAACTTTTAAAAAGGCGACGATCTCTTAATAATACATGTCGTGGTGGTAGAAGCGACCGGTAAAACAGTTATAAAAACAGCGGTAACTACGTTAGAATCAATTATTTAAGATGCAGAGCTCCGTAAAGAGAGAGTGGAGCAGTCGTAAAGGGGGTGGAAGAAAGTAATGCCGTTCGTGGAAAGATGCTGGTAGCTCCAGGCAAAGAAAAAGAGTGAGAAAGATAAGATAGATAGAGAAAGAGGTAAAAGAAAAGAGAGGTAAGATGGCTATCGCGGGAATTATAAAGGCCGTAGTTAAAAGTTGCTTCGACTATCTGGGGACTGACCGGCTGAAGACGAAGTCCAAGCATTATTGTGAGACGCTTTCGTTTCAAGTGAACTTCAAAAAGTTAGAAAAACATTTGATAAACCTTTGAATACTCGATAGAATTCGAGAGAAACAGAGACGATCGATTAGAAATCTCTTCCGATCGATTAATTTTATATAAAATGAACTTTAATCTTTACAACGAAGAAGATGTTAACGATTTTGACATAGTGATCGTTGGTGCTGGTTTAACGGGCCTTACCACAGCATACAATATACTCAAAAGAAAACCTTCTTTAAATGTATTAATCATCGAAGGAACCGGTAATTCTTTCATATTTTGCTCATATTTCCGATCGAAGCAGTGTCAATATACTTTCTTACAAGTGAGATTCCTTCATCGTAAAATCTTATACGTCTTATATATCTTTACGATTACTACAGATAAAGCTGGGGGACGCGTTTTATCACAGAATTACAGCGAAACCTTTTACGCCAGTCTCTTGCAAAAGCATATCACTCGACTTATCCATACACTGAACATAAATACTTGCTCGAGGCAGAACATAGACTGGTCTGGGAAAAAAGTGTTTTTTACAAAAAACGGTCCCGTAGAAAAATTGCCAGCTCTATTCGCAGCTGAAGTTCGTTATTTTATTCAAGTGGTAATTATTTATCTGAATTGTTTTTTCAGAAACAGTATTCAAGGTTTTTAAATCAGCCATGAAATTTCATACGATTCTTTCCTAATGTGCTCAGATTCAAAAAAATTCTTTAAATCCATGCTTCAAGACGTACGTAAGGAACAAGATTACGCATAAATTAGCTACAACCAGTGTCGATCAATTACTGAAGAGACTTGTGTTCTTTTCCAATGCCAGATCCGTATGCAGTTCACTTATCTATAGTACATGCGGTAAAATTTAATATTTCTAATAAAATTCTGACATTCTAATATTTCAATCGATTCTTATCTACTGGATCCTTACAACTTATATTCATTTATCAGGAATGAGAGATCTTCGTAAGCTATCAGCATTATGGATGCTTGTAATGTTAAATGGTGCAGGTGGATTTCTCAATCGACTAAAATTCACGATGGGAGATAAAAGCCGTTACTTCGTTCAAGTTATTATAAATATTTTTACAATTAAAACAATTATTATATAATTCACAATGTGTAAATGATTTCGCGATATATTATTTTTTAAATTTAAACGAAAAAAAGAAAAGATTACCCCATTTAACAGGGTGGAATGTCGCAATTAACCGAAGAATTATTAAACCATATACTATCTAAAAATGGCCATATTATTTATGATGAAGTTGTTACGAATATTCAATTCAGGGAGGACAGGGCTTATTGTTATACTACGCGAAACTGTTTCAAGTACGTTTAAAAATAGTGTTATTGTTGAAGTCAACATTTTAATAGAATTTATTAATATTAATCATCGTGTGCTAACGCGCGTATTTAATTGATCAGAGTTTTTCGTAAATATATAACTGTGTACGGGTATATAGATGTGACATCGTAGTGATAGCAGTACCACCCCCAGAAATCTCTCACATTTGTATCGAACCATCCTTACCTGAATACGTATCTCGATCCCAAATGTTATTTCTACATTGTGACAATATATTTTTCAACGCATTTTATAAATATCCTTTTTGGAAAGATGAATATAGCGGTGATGTTTTAGCAACATTAGATTCAAATACTATTTTAAATATTGCTTATGATGCAACATGCAATAACTCAAAACGAGGAATTATAGCTGGATTTCTTAATAATACCAATGTTATACCAACTACATCGAAATTGCTTTTGTTCGAAACATTAAGTCGAAGTTTCAAAAATAACGAAGCAAGATGTTGCATCAGTTATAAAGAACACGAACGATCTACAGATAACAATATCGAAATTAAATTGAGAAGTAGTTGGTTTATGAGCGTTATGCAACCATGTAACATATTTTACCATGTTGATCATGTAAATGCATCTATTGATAGGTAAGAATATTTTATTGATTTGATTTCAAGTAGTATTTTAAAAGTAGGTTTTATCTTTCTACTAGGGTTTTTTTCGCTGCGAGCGAATATGCTAGAAAATGGCCTGGGACGATAGATGGTGCGATCGAAACAGGCGAATTAACAGCAAATCTTATACTTTTAAGAGTTAGACCGCAAACTTTAGAGTTTGCTGACATGATAACTATGTAAGTTTGAAATTGATCAATTTGTTATACAATTACTACGTAATATTTGTAGACAAATACTTTATTTTCAAGAGTATATACTAGATCAAATCTTAATTTTTTACTTTTGGTACAGACCAAATGAAATCAACGTGCAAAAATCGCTCCCAATTGAAGTAGCTATAATGCAATATTTTTGCTTAGCAATGAATATGGTCATATTGACTTCATTTTTACATATAGCATATAATAGATAAAATTATCAACGACCTAAAAACGTTGAAATGTTAGTTCCCACCAGATCACTAAATTCAAGTAACGTGAATACGGTTAGTTAAAATGAATAGATGATACATTCGAAAAAACAAAAAAGGATCGTGTGCCGTTGACTACAAAGACACGAACTCTGGAAATGTGGGATAATTATGTGGAGGTGGTCGTAAACGGTGAAGTAATATAAAAACATAATAGATAAAATTATCCATTTAAAATTAATATCAAATCACTATGTTGGAATTATTTCAATAGTATTTATTTTTTATGAAATCATGCATATGATTCAGGAAATTCAAATGTTACATCTCGACCTGTCAGTTTCTTATAAACAGAGGCGAAAGTGTCAACCTGAAAAATATAGAAAAAATCAGTGAAATTGTAAATGGTGGTTATTATATACGGACGATACAGCATACATTTAATGTGCTATCTAATTACATAACTAATACTAAAAAGACATACTTTATGTTCAATGTTAGTCTGCTCATTTTTATCCAAGTGAACTTTAATAAGTTGTTTGCCCTCTGCTTTAACGCGAATGCGTTTGCCAACAATTTCAACTGGATAGACCAAATCTTCCAGAAGTGCATCGTAGACGGCAGTCAATGTGCGGCTACAAAATTAAAAAAAATATTATATAGAATTATGCTACATTACACAAAATTTCAAAGCAACGCATTTCACTAAACATTGATAGAAATGATTCCAAATAATTGTAATAATAATAGTTTAATTACCTTCTTGGTCTCTTTTGCTTATTCTTTGTACGCGTTTTCCTAGTTGGTTTAGGTAAGATTTTTCGTTCTCCTACAAACATAACATGTTTACCAGAGAACTTCTTTTCTAACTCGCGTACCAATCTCGTGTGAATTTTTTGAAATGCTTTTAATTTTGGCATTGGTACATAAATAATTATTGACTGAAACAAAAGTACTAACATTAATCAAGGCGTTTTCTAAAGCCAATGCATGTGAATACATATATAAAAGATACTTATAAATGCACTAGTAAATATTGAAAAATTTTTACCTTTTTATTGTTGGTTTCAATTTCTCTTGCCTTAGTAATATAAAGCTCCCTCAATTGTGATTTGAGATCACTATTCATTTCTAGCTCTAAAAGAGCTTGTGAAATACTGGCCTCAAACTGGTCGGCTTCGGCGCCCCCACTCTTTATGATTTTAGCATTTGCAGTGAACATCTGAAAATAGTTAGGTTATGTTACTATTGATACAAATTATAAACCGCAAAATTAATATTAACTTTTGTGCTGTGGTTAAATGTTTAAAATACTAATAATATTATATCACTAAATAACACTTTCAAACATAAGTATATGATCAAAATAAAATATTTTAGGCGTCACACGGTTAGTAACATCCATTAGTATCAACTTGTTGAGTATGCAATCTGCATAAAATATTTTTTTTCATACCACTTTAAGGAATTTTTAATCACATTAACAAAATAATTTACCGTTCTTTCTTCAATTTTTCTTTATAGTCAAAAAATCCGGTAGAACACGCAGCTCGAAAGCTTCAACACCATGCTAAACGAGAGAGAAGATAGAAAGAACATAGAATGCAACTACCACACTTATGATTCACTCAGCTTTGACCACGGGTTCAGTAGAATGCTCAGGATTGGTGGATTTATCGTCATTAAACATCAGCCAATAATGTATGAGTATATTTTCAAAAATTAATTTTTATTAAATTATTTATTCCTTTTTCTATTTATTAAGAGAAATTTGTATGAAAAATGTTATAAAAGTATTATTCTATAATATTTTTAAATATATATATATTATATACAAACAGAAGTCACTATAGTATAGTAATCATATTAGTTACTAGGTGGCGGTACGAGCATTTCAGCAATATAGTTTCTATTATTCCAGAAACTAATCTCAAAATAATACACTTATGCTATTCTCTGTATTACATTGAATAGTACTTACTAACACTACTGATAGAGAAGAAGCAAGTTACAAAGTATTATAAAATATTAAGAAATGTGTAGGATGTAAATTTTTTTTCCAAATAATGAATTGTACACTAACATTTTAAATGATTATTTTTTGATAAATAATCAATACATAATTACGCTTATTAAAAATTTACAAATAAAGAAATTTTGTACGGTCGGCTTATTATGGTTGATGTTTATACGCCGAGAGCCGAATGTGAATTAAAAATTCTACGTTATATAAATATATATGTTTATCTTTGTTTCATTAAAACAGTGAAAAATGAGTTCTGGGTTCATATCGGAAGCTGAAATAGCAGAGCAAAGAAGAATAAGGCAAGAAGAATGGGACCGTGTACGAACAGCTGACCAACCTTTAGGTTATTATCACACTAGTTATTCGATTGTTCGTTATCTTTTAAATGTCATGTACTCCAAATTAAGTAAAATCTATTAACTCTATATGATGAAATTAAACTGTAAGAGAAAATTAAGTCAGCACTCTTAATATCTAAGTAAATTATTAGTGTTAATATCTAGAAAATATTAATAATACATAAATTGCTTATAACAGTAAAAGTGATTAATATTTTAATCAAATTTTGACAAATAAAAGAATATATGCTAAACATTTGATTATAAAAGTTTGACAAATATGATGATTAAAGAATTATATATTTTTGACTATTTTTTAGAACCTCCTGATGAACCATATGATCCTAGATCTTTGTACGAACGTTTACAAGAACAAAAAAGCAAACGAGATGCAGAATATGAGGAAGCTCATAAACTTAGTAAGAAAAAAAAGATATTTCAATTACTTGCATTTATTTGAATGAATATTGTCATTATTGTTTTCCAGAAAATATGATTAAAGGATTAGATGACGATGAAGTAGACTTTTTAGATTTGGTTGATAGAACTAAGTTAGAGGAAGAACGTAAGAAAATTCTTGAAGAAGAAAAAGAAATGCGTGATTTCAAAGCTGCTGTTGCTTCTTTGCAAGAAAAGTCATTAGATGAAAGATTAAAACAAGAATTAAAAAAACCACAAATCCCTAACAAGAATGTTTGTAGTAGCAGGTAAATCAAAATATATTTAAACTATATTTTTCTCTTTCCTCTCTCTCTTAATTGATCATTATATTTGTGTTAATTATTATTAATTTTAATAAAACATTTACTTTATCTTTTAGTGGTCGTAATTCCCAATTAAAATTACTGGCAGGTGTGGTTGTGAAAAAGTCAGAAAAACCAAAGTTAAGTAAGTTGAAAAATTTATATAAGGTATAAAATAAAATAATAAATATATAGTTTAAAAATTTAACTCTCATTAATATTAATTTAGGTGAGGGCAAAGGTGTCAAAAGAAAATTGTCTTCTCCAGAATTAGATAAACATTTAGCAAAGGAAGATGATACTCATTTACAATATTCGCAGATAGTAAATGCGGAATCAAATGTGCTCGTGGAAAACAAAAAATCATATTTATCTGATGCAATGATTAATCATACAGGGGGAATGAAATGTATTGGTATATTACCAGGACTTGGTTCTTATGACGACTCGAGCGATAGTGATTGTAGCTCAGATACTGATCAAGATCCAGAATTAATTCAATCTAAATATGATCTTTTAGGACGTAAAATAGTAGCTGCAAAAGATAAGGAGAAAAGCTGAATGAGAAGTATAAGTAAGCAATTTTTTCCAACAAGATAAAATGAGTGAAATTTTATTTAACTAGTTGAATAAGAAAATATAATCATAACTTAAATTTTTAATTTTGGAATCATTACAGTTCCAGTTTATAATGCGTGGATATATAAAAGTTGAATTATTCTCTTAAAAAGGTCGTATTATTTTTATTTCTATGTTAGCTATGTATTGTGTACTATTAAAATTACAGTTATTAAAGAATTTGTGTAATTATGTGGGAGTATAAATGTATTGAACAAAGACGACTAAACAAATACATTTCTATACAATCGGTAAATCTAAATTTCTTCTAATTAGTATTTTAAAAGTACTTTACATTTAATTGTTACCAAAATATTGTCAATGAATAACATTCATACATACAGAGTGAGTCTCCTAATATGACGACTTCAAATGACTTGTAAGTTATTCGTTGTACGAAAAAATGTTTTAAACAAATGTTGTATGGTATCTAGGGAGACATACAATGCTTTAATTTGTTTTTTATTATCTTACAATTTTATTCAGATTCTTAAGTTTGTGCTATTTATTGGCATATTACATTTTTTAAGTATAGAGGACGGAAAATAAAAATTCACATCTTATACGCATTAAATCGTTATTGTGTGAATAATAATTATTAAATTTATATGATTTCGTATTTACTTTATAAACTTTCCTTTCAGTTTCAAAAAATTAGTTAAAAATAGAGCATCAACGTGAAAAGTATTTTGCAGAATTTTTTGCAGATGAATGTTAAGTGATGTTCGCAGTGGTAATAAAAGATTTTGTTTAATAAAACATTTTCATTGCAATTAATAGGTGAATTCATACTTCACATATTTTTCAGATATGTGCGATAATTACGGTAAGATCCATTTTACAGTATACTGTCCACATAGTGTTAAATATATATTATACATGATTTTAATACTATAATTAAATATCTTTTTTGACATTTTCTTTAAATATTAAACATTATGTTGTTTAATTAATTTTTCATTTACAATAGTAAATTCATAGTAATCATTTCTACATAATATTCTAATAATTATACTACTCCATTTTCTAAACCAGCCAAACTCAACTTTGGCTCACAAAATCGATTACGCTTATAAACACAATGTTTAAATACGACTGGGGTTAGCATGAAAAAAGTGTCTTAAAAAAAACAAAGAGAAACAGAAGAAAGGTTATTTACCCCTATCCTAAAGCCATATTTATAAATAAAAACAAATAACCTCACATGAAAGTCGAATTTTCACATTAATTTAATGACAACCAGTCAATAAATTATAATCTTGTACAAATAAAGACATTTGGTAATAAGTTCCATTTTAACGTTTTCTACTTAAATAAAAAATCGTATTGAACAGAAGTGTTATACCGTACGTATAGATTGTTACGTATTTATGTATTTACATGTATGTGTATGTATATCAGCGTTAAATTCTATAATTCAATTAAATCATGGAAACCCTTGGTTTCATCCAAACAAACTAGGCGTTTTTGGGAAGGCATATAAAACGAAGTGTATTATACACTAAACTAATAGTTTCATGAAATATAAAGGTAAAATATAAATTCATGAGAGACGAATATAAATCAGTAAAATCTGAGGTTTACACGATTTAATTAAAGTATACAACAACGCTAAGATATAGATTTACAAGTAATTTTTGTGTAAAATAATCGTTAAGTTCCTAGAAATGGTCGTATTTTATGAGTTAGACCATTATTACAAAATAAATAATTAGTACAGAAAGTAGGATTAGGCTTAAGAAATTTAAGAAAGTATACTGTTTATTTTCATAAAACTATCCGAAACCGTACTATGTGTTTTTATGTTTTTTCTGCAATATTTACAATTAGACAAAAAAAATGTTCCCATTTAAATTTTATTGATTTAATACTATAGTAACTATTCTCAACATAGGTTTTAATGAAACAATCATACATTTAAGAGACTATAAATACAGGATAAGATCATATTATAGAATTTCATATAATCCATTAACAGGCGCAAAAGCGATTATTTTAATTTTGAGAACTTTCAAAATTTTATTATTGAAGCACTTGGTTAATACTTAATCTTTTATATTGAAAACAAATGCCTTCAATAATTAAGCTAATATCATTAAATAAAAACGATGTTTATGATCGTTTAATAATAAACGATATAACAATATAGATTATCAATTTTTCTCTAATTTTGTTTGGGGGGTACTATTCAATTTGAAATAATAGTAGTTCATATTATAAAAGGGATTGCTTGTAAAGATATATTGGGTTGACAACTAAGTGAGTGCGGTTATTTTAATAATAATCTATCGACAAAATCCTCAATCACTTAGTTGCCAACCCAATATTTTGTATAGGACGTACTGATTTTATTTTATTTTTTTAATACAATACGTGTTTCAGGGCTATTTAATCAACAAATTATTTTATCTTACTAATTTATTAATTAATAATTAAAATGAACGAAACTACTCGCTATATAAAGACTACATTTGAGAAATTTGAAGTTAATAATTATGAGTTGTTTCTTCGCTGTATCAAAGGTACTAAACGTATAACAACACCTCTATTTATAACACCTTCTTGTCGATACTCAAGTGAGATAAAATATAGTCGTCATAATCTGCGTATAGACTATAATTTTGATACGAGACTATACATTGGATTTTTACAAGTTTTATATTCTATACCTTTTCGTTCTGCGAGGAAGGCAGTTATAAATGAAGAAAATAAAATTATCACATATGATATGACCAATGGGTTTAAAAGAAAATTTAAATTGTCACTTAATGTTACTTATATATCTCCTGTAACTGAAAATATGCTCAGTTTCAAGACTAAACATATACAAAGTATGATACAACATATAAATACATTATGCATGAATTCAGAATTTAATGATGTAGCATTTTGTCTCGATAATTCGGTCTTTCCTGTACACAGAATTATATTATCAGCACAAAGTTCTGTTTTTGAAAATATGTTCAACTATGAACAAACTAACCCACAGGAAAGAAAAATTATTACTCTAAAGAACGATAATTTACCATATTATAGATATAAAACTTTTACCATTATTTTGCGCTACATATACACTAATAAAATTGAAGATTTGGATAATATGGCAAGCGAAGTAATTTTTTTAGGTGACATGTTTCAAATAACGAATTTGGTAGAAGTGTGTAAGGATGCTTTGATAAAACACATTAATAAAGTAAACGTAGAGGGAATTCTTTCTATTGCAGAGGATCTAAATTTACTAGATCTAAAAGCTCAGTGTAATGATTACAAGGAAAGAGGAAGTTCATCTTCAAGAGATGAATAAAAAAATCCAAATAAATATTCAAGTGTATTACAAAAAATTGTGAATCATTCGAGGGATTATGATATTTCAATGTTTTATCAAAAAATTAGTGTATTAAACTGATATGAAGATAGTTAAATAAATACTTTTTCTCTATTTTTATATTATGTGTGAATTTTAATTTTATTATAAATCTACCTAAAGAAAAAATATGTTGATATAAGAAAAGTAATTACCATATATACATATATTTGCCCTTATTAAATATTACTATAATAGTCGATGGGGATACGTTTTTGTAAAACTCGGCCCAGGGGGCAGCATCATAGATCATTCCATGTCGCCCAAATATTTAACATCAAAAATAGAAGTTGGGTGTATTAAAAAAAATGGATAAAGAAAATAAATATTTTACGTGGAATGTTGAACAATTAAAGCACGACTTAAAAAAGCGTAGTCTTCGTACCACAGGTAAAAAAAATATTCTACAAGAACGGTGAGTATTATATAAATTATCATAATTAACTTCACTATCACATATAGTATCTTAATGAATAATTAATTTTGGCAATGTTTAATTATTTAAAATAATTATTGAAAAAAATAATTAATATTTATGAATTAGGTTGAAATTCTGTGATCAAATATGATGATTTTTTAAAATAAAAACTTAAAGGCAAACTGTTTAAATGACTCTAATTTCTAATTTTTTAAAAACAATATTCAAAAATTTGCGCTTGAAAAGACTTCCTAATATCCTGCTCCCAAGCGAAAAAGTTTGGTAAAACGGGTTCCCAATCCTATTGCTTAGCAAGTTAGCAAGTTGAACAATTTAAAAAATATAAATTATTATATATAGGAAGCAAAAATAAAAGAGCGAGTTTTCTGGCGGGTTTCTTTTGTCTCCCAGACAGAACGTCCTGGTGGTGAGCTCTCATTGGTTACCTTATCGCTATGTAATTAGTTTACTCTTTACTGGTAGCGGCTCTATTAATTGTAACTTACATGTATAATCTCAATTGAATATCAATCATGCCTAAAATTATTTGAATAAAAACCGTTAATTATAATCTATTTCTAATGCTATTGTAAATATATTTCATTTCATTTCATTGTTCTCTTCGTTTATAAAAGCTGACCAAAAGTATTATCTAGTATGTACAATATTACGTTCATTTATAACCCGAATTATTCCATATAACAAAAAGTAGAGAAAACTAATAAAGTTGTATACATTGTCATGTCATTTATTATTTATTAGTTATATAACATTTTGTTATTTAATGGTGTTAAGTCCATTATTAACATGTTTATTGTGAATTTGAAAAATTAAGCACTAATTCAATATTTTGGCATTAAAATCTTTATAAATTCTAAAATTGGAGCTAATCACTTTAATTTATAAACTGCTATGTATGTGTGTATCCCAATCAAATAACTTGAAAAATTTATTCTTAAACAAGTTTTCATATTTCCAGATATTGTTGAATTAACGCACGAAGAATACCTATAAAACGTCTATTTACGGAACAGTCATATATACAAAATATTTTACAAATGTATAATAAAATCGTGCTGTAGGAGTGTCATAATATAAAAGAATAGCTTTTGATTACAGGCTGCCCCTATAGACGTTTTAATAATATTGTTTTTTATAATATGCTTATTTTGTAGCTATTTAATCAACATATTATTATCTTAACTGATAAAAACAATGAAAGAAGGGAATAATCAATATATACAGACTGAATTTATGAAAGAACCTCAAACTCGCGGATATCGATGGCCTATTATAGATTTTCACCGTGGTACAATAAAAAAATCACCTATATTTGTTTTATCAACTGTGACATATTCACTTGCTCTGATGTACAAAGGAAATGATTTAGTTATACTATTTTTATTTAGAAGAAATCCTTATGGTGGATATTTGTCTGTTAGAATACAACTATTAACTTTCGACGAAACACATATTATAGATAAGAACAATAGGGAAATCGTGTATTCAAATATAAAAGAAATAGAAGAAGATAGGTTTGAAGTGAATTTTCAAGTAACTCATATATATCCTGTAACAAAAAAACTGTTTAATAGTGCCGACCCAAAACGAGAAGAAATAATGAAATATATAAGTTCATTATTTTTTAATACAGAATTTTCTGATGTAATAATTGCGTTTAAAGATTTAATATTTCCTGCACATAAAATTATACTTGCGTCACAAAGTACTATATTTAAAGACATTTGTTACACTCGAGAAAATGAAATACCGTTAAAAATTAATATAGCTGATTGTGAGTTAGAAAAGAACATTTTTGTTATGATGTTGCGGTATATATATAGTAACAAACTTGAAAATACAAATTGTACAGATATAATAAATAAAATTATTTCCGCAGCTGCTATATATAAGGTAAACAATTTGAAGAAATTATGTGAATATATTTTAATCGAACGTATGAATATAGAGACTGTATTCAATTCTCTTTTAATTGCTGATAAATTTAATTTTCCTGAATTAGAGAATTATTGTTTAGAATTTATATCAAAAAATAAGACAATTTTTCGTTCGAGGAAAGAATATGAAAGTCTAAAACAGAATTCAAGAATAGTAAGTAAACTTATAGATTTCATGTTCAATTGAAAAAATATTATATTTTATCGAAAAAATCTTAATTTATTAAACTTATATTGGCATAGTTAAATATATAAATATTTTTTCTTTATTTTATATAATCTCGAATTTAAATTTTGTGTATTAATTTTTTCATTTTTATTCTGTGCGTTTATTTTTTCATTTTGATTCTGTGCATTTTTTTATAACTATATATTTTATAATAGATATTGATAGATTAAATCAAGATTATTGCATTTTTTATTTTGTCTTATAACGATTAATTTTTTCAAGATAAAATTAAAAAACAGAATTGTATAAGATTGTTAATAATAAAATTAAATATCACAGACAAATATAAATAAATTAATAAAAAAAATATATTTATGTATATGGATAAAAATTAGGCTGCTTTAATATCGCAATGTTTATGCAAAAGTCACCCCTATATATGTGATAAATAAATGAATATTATATATATATGAAACCCTATAAATGAATATTTTTGGTGTGTTTGATTTAACGAGAAGTTATTTATGTTTATTAGAGAATCCTTTCTCTTATTCATTATTATAAACATTTTGACAATAAAAGTTTTATAAATCTCTAATACAATTTTAAATAATATTCATTTATTCTGTTTGATATATTTTATTTTATATATATAGATGTATTATTTAAAATTGAAAATATACACATATAAATAAATAATTTTTGTGTTCTTATAACTAGATGAAATTAATTATATAATGACATTAAGTCAAATAAATAACGTATATATTAAAATTAATTTTAATTGACAATCTCATTGTATTTGCTTATAAATAGTGAATTATTAAAATTTATTTCTTTTAATATTCAAACTACTTTTTATTTCCTAAAGATGGCGCAAACGTTTTACCTTCTGTACTTTGAAATGCAACGCAATTGGTATCTTATATGAGTCGAGTAGTCATTGGTATAAGTATATAGCCTAGAAGAAATCTTTCTAACGATTGGATTGTAAATTTATTTACTCAATGTATTAACAACTTTAAACGGACACATTTTACACGGAATTTGATAGAGGTATATAATTAAATCTATATAATATATAAATA